AAAAAAAAAAAAAAAAAAAAGGATAGAAAATTAGGGTAGAGAAAACCAGCACATAGTATCCATGTTAAACCTGACTAGGAAGAGTAGAAGGCCAAGGAAAAAGGGTGGGCAGTTCTTCAGAGCTTCAGGTCTGGAAGAGGCCAAAACACTTGTATTTCTTTCAGAACAGTGCAGAAAATATACAGTTTCTTACTATGAAATTTGTTATATTGTCATGGTGTTGTAAAACAGCATAAAAGCAACAGAAGGTTAATTAGGAACCAGAAATCCTCCAGTAAAATAAGACTAAAAAAAAAAATAAAAAATCACTCATGACAATGATAAGTGAAGGAAGGGCAGAGGGGAAAAAGTCTTTGAAACTTTCCTTTTACGTTTTGTTTTCTCATGTCTACCCCAAAATGCATATTTGGTGCCCCAATCTGAAGGCTTAGGAACTGAAAATGTGCTCCAGGCCCATCAAAAGGACAAATATTTTCAAAGTATGACTTCTTGTTCTAAGTTTAAAGTTATCATGATGTGATAAAGTAGAGCACAGAAAAACCTGTAAGTATGAGCTGAAAGAGAACAACTTGAAGGCTCAAATCATTGTGCCCTAAAAATATAAATGTGGCTCTGAAGTCTACTCTTAACTACTGGAGTTCTTAAGAGTCCAGAACTCCCCCTTCAACTGGGACCTTCACAAACCTGCCAGCAGCATCTGCAGGCTCCCGTTTCTGAGGATCAGCGCCACAAGCAGTCCCCAAGATTTTCATAATTTAATATTCTGTATCATCCCTTCAGAGACTGAACTGTAAGCTTACCAGCATTCTTGCCCTGAGAACCCTTTACCATGTTACTGGGAGATCATAAGTAAAAATTTCAGAACTGTGAAACTCTCAGTACTGTGGAATTTAATTAAAAATACTAAAATTTTATTACAAAATAAGATGAAATATTTGATCATTTCCCTTTGGGAGTGTGTGCAGGAGAAATACCTCCAAAACGCCTTCTGGCCTTTTTCACTTCAAATGTATTGACTGTTTCTAAACTATTAAGGAATTTAAAACTTGCTCCCAGAGAATATGATGGAAGATGATTTAAAACAAGTATTACACTATATATGTTAAATCTAATAAAAGACAACTCTTACTTGTATTTTAAACTTCTTTGGAATTAAATTACATAATACACATACACAAGAATAACATCAGACTAGATAATATGCTCTGACCTTTCTGTTTTCGATTCACTGTCAGCTCGATAGTGTTCAAGGTCTTGGTAAAGAGACTGCAATTCTGCTTGAAGCCCTTTTTCCCGTTCGATACTTCCTTCATAAAATTTAATCTCTTTCTCCATTGCTTTCACTTTTTCTTCCATCACCTTAAATTCATGAAGTATCAAATAGCTGATTCCACAGTATTTACACACTGTCTCGTCCCGGGACATCTAGAAAAAAAATAAAATTTTAAAAGCGTTTGTAAGAAAGGAGTCAAAAAAACCCACCAGAATGACACTAAATAATAATAATAACAACAATAATAATAATAAATCTGAGTATTTTATACTGCTCTGGAGCATTTATGATCAGATGATGTTATTGCTTTAACAAATAATAAAGACAAAATTCTACATTAGCAAAATGAAATCAAGCTATAGCAGTACTTTCGCTTCCTGGAAACTTCACAAGATACATCAACTACACCATTTGCTATGTGAGAACTCCCACTGGCATTCTCAACTGAAGTACATCTGAATTATGTCTGATGTATTAATTTAAAATAAAATGCTGTGTTTTACAAAAGTTACCTCCTTAACGAATTTGTGACCACCCGAGCCAGAAAAACGTTATTTACGGTGTTTTTTTCACAACTCCTATCCAACTGAAGTAGGCAAGATGAAAAGTGGAAAGTGAATAGAATGATGTAACCCAGCAATCTTTACAGAAATAATTCAGATGACTAAAGGGACTAATTATTATGATGCAGCGTCCGTGGCACTCGAGCGTGGTGGAAAACGTAACCCATCTACTATGTATGATGTATTCACCACTGATTAAAAAAATACAGAGTATATAATACATATCTAATTGAAAGATTTCTTAAATTGAGAAACGTACTTTTGTAAGTGATCAAATTATTAAGCTTATAGTAAGCAAGTCTTCATAAATACGAACAGGTAGATGTGCTCTGACTTTGATATGTACTTATTACTCAGTCTATCGGTTATTCCTGTGTCTTTTATTTCACTTCCAGAAAAAAAAAAAATGCTCAGTTTACAAGTGATGCCAAACCGGACCTGCCCAAGAAATGGATATGGAGTGAGTAAGTCAGCCAGACACACCCGAGGAGGTCTGACACTTCAGAGGGGATGTGTAAGCATCTGCTCATGGGCACAGCCCCCTGCACACGACAGGTCTTACCCCGTGCTTGGCTCACGAGCGGAGATGTTTAGAACTCAGACTAGGTCAGAGGACACCCACAGTACAGCTAAAGAGACAACCTCAGAGCAACAAATAGAAAAGGTGTTGGTAAGCTTGCAGACATGAAAGATAAATGATGGGTGGCAGCTGGCAGAGCGTGCGTTTGGGGATGGAGAGCTTAAAACATGCTTCAACCCCTCCTGCAACTATCAACTGTCCCAGGGATTTTAACACAATGACATGCGAAAATCAGGAAGCTGGAAAACTGCAAACAGTTTAAGTCAAAGAATATAAGAATCCCTTGTTTTACAGCAAAACGTTTTGAGATGGAATAAACAGAAAGAAATCATACTTCAATGAAAAAAAAAAAAAAACAGCTTTCAAAAATCATAAACTAAAGACTCATCCCACGATTCAATAAACTTTAGCACTTTAAATATAGCTTGATAAAAACGGTATTTCAGGATGCCCTGGAATTACCAGGCCAAGCTTTATTTTCCAATCTCTTAGTTTTGCCCCAGTTTAAAATACCCCTAGTTACAGTTGCTCTGAATGAGCTGAAAATGCAAGTTTATTTTTCCTGGCAGCTGCAAACTGTGCTTGGAAATATGAAACTGTTATTCAGGATAACTACCATAAAGTTCCAAAGCACTAAAATTACTATATTGAAAAAGGACAAAATGAGCTGTTATAAGGAGCACGGGAGGGGGGCTCTTATCCCCAAAAGAACACTGTGCTCTCTTGCAGCACCACCACTGCTGTCTTTCAAATAAACAGAAATTTCACTTGGTACAAGGATTAAAAACAAAATAAACAATTGGGGTCCTGAACTGAAAATGTTTTATGCAAGTACTAAAACTTTTTCGTTTTCAAATTCAACTTTATTACTGAACTTAAAAATAAATGAAGTCATAGAACAATAAATATTCTCCATCTGGACTTAGCGGGAAACAGGTCCCGTTCACATCCATTCCTCAGGTGAAGTAAAAACTTGTGAGGACTTCAGAGCAGGTTGGATTTTTAAAGTATTTGTGGCGTATTTAAAAAATAAATAAATAAAGAAATGAAAGGAAAGTCCTAAGGCTTTATATTACTGCAGTAAGGAAAGAAAGTTCTGTCTTTTAATCAGAACCTTGTGGGCTTCTGTACATGCACAATTATCCTGCAGTACACCGTACCCAGACTGAATTAGTTTTAAAATCTCTACCTGTAGTATGAGTAGCTGCTTCCTAACACCAGTAATGAACTTGGCATGGGTTGAGTGATGCTCAACAGGCAAGCCAGCCCAAACTAAATTTGACGCTGCCGTAGATTAACACCAATAAGCAAGCTAACCGATTTAAACCCAGCACATGTATATGCCAATATGCTTAGAAACTTAACAGGGCCCAGCTGAAGGTGAATAGCTCCAAAGAGCAAAGCCTGGACTGGGCAGAGCAAGGGGCGCACTAATCTGAATTCTCATCCTAAAGCCAAGATTCCTCTCTCGTGCCCACAGAGGTCAAATCACAAGCAGGACTTTTGCTTTTTTTCCCTCTCCTCCCCTCTCTTCTGCATTGCAACAACACGAGTCCTCCTCACTGATACTTAAAACATCTCCTGAAATTCCTGAGCTGTTCGGACATTTTTCAGAGGTTGCTGAAACTTCACACAGACAGGTACGGAGAAATGCTGCCAAGCTGTAGATGCTGATTCCATTCAGCCAAAATAATGACAAATCTTAGGGCTACACCAGCTTAAAGGTCAGAACCAGAAAGCATTTTATAGCTTTGAAGACCACTTACAAACAGAATGGGTTTGGGTTTTGCACTTTCCAAGAGATACAACATTACTTTGCCTATGTGTGTATTTCTCTGCTGCCACCCTTCAGTAATTTGTGAACAAGAACGTTTGGTCATTTCTAACCAATTCTGACACAGAGGGCAGAAATATTTAAGTGTCTAAAGGTTTTAGACAACCAGGCAGGCAAGAAAGGCTTCCTAAGTTCCCTCCTGAAGAAAATTCTGCAGTGTGAGCACAGTCCCTATCAGATATCAGATAATCCGCACAGGAGAGAGTTTTATAAATGGTCTGTCCAGGAGAAAAGATTCCAGTAGACCTTGTATCTTAGACACCAAAGTTGATCAACCATTACACAAAAGTCCGTAGGAAACAAATTTTCATCAGTCCTTATGCTTATAAAGCTACCTTTCCTGGAATAATAATATCACTGAGTATTCCATACACAATTATTTTCGTTTTCTGATTCCATATTTCACTATTTACATTTGATCAAAAGATTGTTGTCATCTTTTCAAATGAAAAGCAGAAAAAAAGGAAAATCAGGAGAAAAGCAGAGTTTGGAAGGAATAGAAAAGGAAACTATCAGAGCTCTAACTAGAAAGGGAACTGTGCATGTCCTTAGCAGTGAGAATAAGCAGTGAATAGAAAAAAAAAATCAATTAGGAATTAAAAAACCAAACAGAAGGAAATTTCAGTCCTGTGATTTTGCTCAGCCTGGACAGGGAAACTCAAAGCAAACAGGACTTGTAGCAGAGGGATACTACAAAAACCTCTGCTGTATGAGTTAGCACAATGGTACTGCATGCACAGTAACAACATGAAAAGAAAAATAAACTGAGGACAGAGTGCTTGAACTAGGAAGCTGTTTGCTCCTTAAGATTTTGAGCTACAGTTCTGATACACATTACCCCAGATGCTATAAGGGACGAGAGCCATGTCCAGAACAAACCGTATCACAAGGTAGCTCTGATATTCCAGCAGCTGTTCCACTACAGCATCTGTGGGAGTAGTTCTAACTCAGAGCTGCATTCGGTTTTGGAAGAACTAATATTATTCCATGGTTACACAGATTTCTTTAGCTACCAAGGGCAAGTGGAGAACTGAGCCAAGATGGATAGTCACTCATATTACATCTGTCTGACTCAGTACCGTAAGCATCTGTAGAGCAGAAGTTATAAGGAAAAAAGAAAAAAAAATGGCTTTGGTGGTCTGGGCCATTTTTAGCCTTTTGAATGACAAGACAGGAATTTATATCGTTTCAACTTCACCAAATAACTACAGGGAGCATCAGCTTGTGCACTGCTATTCTTCTCCGCCGGTATTTCAGATTCCACCCACAAAAACTACCACGATAAAGAGAGAAATTCTTGTTAAAAGAAAAACAATCTACTTTCTCACTTAGCAGTGCCTTGGTATTACAACATCCAGCATATGGATCGCTTATGCTAGAAACAGTCTGTTACAAGCAGCTAATAAATAGCCATGACACTTAAAAGCCAGAACTTAAGTCCTCAATTAATGAGATTTAAAAGAAAAAAAAAAAAAGCAAAGCAGGCAGCTTTGAATATGTTTCTGTGCATCACTGAAATAAAAACATAGAGCCACGAGCACAGATGTACTCCTTGTACATTAATTTTACAGCGCAGGGGAGGGAGAGCCTAAGGGAACTGCGGCACTCACCATCCTCCTTGCATCACCCGGTGCTGCTCAGGCACATAACGCAGTAGTAGCGGCTCTGCCTCCCTCCCCGGGCGGTCTGTCAGGACTGAGACCGCTTTAGCAAGGACTGGCCAAATAACAAAAGACCCTGTATTTGTCTACGTGACACTTGTAGCCGAACAATACATACAACTCAAGAAAAAAAAAAAAAAACAAATCAATATCATGCTGCAGCTGGGTGCTCTTAAATTATTTCTGTATATTGATTGTTTTATTTTACTTTTACTTGATTCTACCTTATTATTTGAATCTCCTTTCTTTTTGGTTTACTCCTCCTCTCCCCTACTACTTTCATTTCTCTCATTCTGTTTGTCCCTCTCCTGACAAACCGGCCAATCCCTATTACAGAAAAAGAAATCGTTACTCAAACCACACAATCGATTTCCCAGGAAGAAAGCAGAGCCTTCTGCTGTATATGCAAAACTGAAGAGTTATTTGATTGAAATTGATCTTCTTTTTTTATTCAAAGAAAGATTTTAAAGATCCTCAGGAGAAACATCACTTCTTTTAAAAAAAAAAAAAGTTT